TCTCCATGTTCATCTGTATCCTTTATCATATCCTTTTATATTAAACCAGTAAACCTAAGTGTTTCCTTGAGTTCTGGGAGCCACTCTAGCAAATTATCAAACCCAAGAAGGGGTCATGAAACCACAATTTATAGATAGTTGGTCAGAAGTGCAGGTGACAACTTGGGACTTGGGACTGGCATCTGAAGGCAGAGGTGTAGTCTTGTGGGACTGAGGGGAAGGTAGATAGTGTCTGAATTGAATTAAGTGGAAGAACATTCCGCTGGTATCACAGAGAATTGCTTGTTGTGAGGAAAAACTCACAACACACAGTGACCAGCAGTGAAGTGTGGTAGTAGTGTGAGAGTAAAGGAGAAACACACAGGGAGCATGTTTGTTCTTCAGAACAAGGTTCTTTAGAGGCAGACTATACACGGGGTAAGAGGTATATGGAAAATCTCTGTACCTTCCCCTCAATTTTGCTGTGAACCTACAACTGCTCTTTATTGATCACCCAAGCAAGCATTTGTAATTGGGTCTATTTCTGGGTTATCTACCAAGTTTCGCTGATTTATACACCTATCTCTTGACCAATACCACATTGTCTTAATGTCTGTAACTTTATAGTAAGTCCTGAAGTAAGGGTGTGTCCTCCATCCGGGTCCTTTGCTTTTCCACATAACTTTTAGAATCAGCTTGTAAATTTTTTCAGAAAGTCCTGCTGGAATTTTGATTGGGAGTACATATAAATCAATTTGAGGAGAATGGAGAGCTTAACAACATCTTTTGATCAATGAACAACAGTATCTCTGTCCATTTATTTTGATTTATCCTTAAGAATTTAATTTTGAGGCTACTATAAATAGTATTTTTATGGGGCGCCTGGGTGGCGCAGTCGGTTAAGCGTCCGACTTCAGCTAGGTCACAATCTCGCGGTCTGTGAGTTCGAGCCCCGCGTCAGGCTCTGGGCTGATGGCTCGGAGCCTGGAGCCTGCTTCCGGTTCTGTGTCTCCCTCTCTCTCTGCCCCTCCCCCGTTCATGCTCTCTCTCTCTCTGTCCCAAAAATAAATAAACGTTGAAAAAAAATTTTTTTTTAAAAATTCTGACTTCCAGTTGGTTCATTGCAAGTATAAAGGAAAACAACTGATATCTGTATACTGACCTTGTGTTTTTAACTTTCAGTTTCCACCTGTTCATTACCAGTGTATAGGAATTTTTTTTGGTAAACTGATTTTCTATCCTGCAAACTTGCTGAACTCAATTTATTTTCTTTTATTATTTGTTTGTCTTAGTTAGAAAAATTATTTCTGCTCCTTTCATACACCTTATTGTGCTGGAAATGGTCTTGCAGACACATCTGAAATAACATACTGTCACACACTTTATTTATTTATTTATTTATTTATTTATTTATTTATTTAATATATGAAATTTACTGTCAAATTGGTTTGCAAACAACACCCAGTGCTCATCCCAAAAGATGCCCTCTTCAATGCCCATCACCTACCCTCCCCTCCCTCCCACCC